CAAACCCTTGAAACCAGCAAATGAGATGAAGTAATATGAAGTCTCTCTGTGGGAGGAATGGAGATTGCACAGATTAGAGGTTCAAGTGTGAGGAAGTTTGGACTGCAGACTTTGTCTCTGAGCACACACACATACTCACACACATACATGATCCTCACATTGCTTAATCCAGCCTCAAACATACAGGGGCTCAGAAGCAGAACCATATTTATCGAAATTTTCTGCCTAATTTCAGCTGAATCGAAATTAGCTTTCAGTGGATAGCAGCTTATAAATCACCATAATTTAGAATTTTATTTTTCATTTAACGCGTCATATACCAAATGGTTTAATATGAACGTTTCCCTCTAATCTGCTAAGTAAACGTAAAGAGTCTTTGTCTCAGAAATGACCTGAAGGAGCTAATAATAATTGTGTATTCAGTTCATAAATGCCTCCAGCGATGTCCTCTCCTGTGATAGAATTAAATTTGCTGTTAGCTTCATTAGCCAATAACCACTCCAGGAAAAAAAAGAAGCTGGAGTCAATTACAGGCCCTCTAAGGGTCAGTGAGTATATGATTTTTCAACTGCACGCTACTGCACATGATTACACAGAGAGGTTGTAACAATGATTAACCCTGGGCATCTGTGCGAACAATTTGGCATGCACTTATGAGTTAAGCATACTTGATGAAATGTTGCATCCCTAAATGATGTGCAGCTCCTTCCCAAAAAGACCTGATGGAATGAGAAAGCGCTCCCCATGGCTGAGTGAGATGGAGCAGAGTGTCGGGCGGTCACGCTTTGTCTGCCCATGACAGTGGCGGGTTAAAGAGATTACACAGGGTTCATGTCAGCAGCCTTGGCCTTGCGAGCACAAGAAAATAATGAGGAAGGATATGCTTGGCCTGCGCAGAAGAAAAAAAAAACACAGCTGAAAATGAAAGAATGAGGTGGGCCAACAGATTGTTGTTTTACACATTGGAGGTCACAAAGTGGAAGATGTCCTGTCTCATGAAACACAAGTGACTGTGACGCTACAGTTAGGCTTGAAACACTTCACCGAAACCTTTTCTCTCACTGCATGTGTTTCTGCTCTTTTGAAGGTTTGAGTGACAGTCCCTTTGCCTAGAATGACTCCACTTGGACGCCTTCACTGTCTCAGAAGAAGCCGTATAGTCAGACGCGATCGTCAGGGTTGCATCCAAACATGTGGTGAGTTCACAGATCTGTCTACTTCATCCTCTTCCAATCTCTTCTGACAGTATAAAAAGCTTCGAATGCTGCCGTCCTGCATGTGTGGGAATAATTGAAGCAGAGTGATAGCACAAAGACATACTTACAAATCATATTTATCTTCAAGACCTGGCCTTTTTTTCCCCTCTTCATGATGCATGACTCATCTTAACAGCAAAAATATGAATATCTTCAAATTTTCTTACTTTTGAATCAAGGTTTGAGGCATATTAACCTAATGAACCTGCATAAATATTGCAAATATCTCTAAATAAAAAAGGAGACTTCAGTTTTAATCTGAGAATTTTTGTTGAATTGTGATGAGAGTTAAAGCCACTTCAAATCTTTATGCATCAGCACAATGCAAAATATTCCCATTATATAACTCATACAGAAATGTCTTCAATTTTGCTCATATTTAAAAGTGTACCTAAACCACACTTGAAATAAAGCTCATAAATCTGCTCTCATAAAATGATACCTGTTGCTTTACCTCCATAGTGTAAAATTTCCCAAAGCAGAATAGAAGAAAATTCACTTTGCAGACTTATTTTTGAAGCTCTAATTTGCTCCTGTCATAAACAAAATCGTGTAAAATGTCCTGTCATGGCTCTAAGTCAAAGCTATTTTTGTGAAGTATTTCTGACAACTCCTCGGGGTCAAATAAGTCACATTACCGTGAGGAATACTCTCCGTGCTTTGTCGAATAAAGGGGTGATAATAGCGGCACTTTTATGCCTCTAAATGATCCGTGAATATTATTTTACCTGTGTTGAACTGGGAGGACGCGACCATTCACGCCGGCACAATGGGAACAGCAGACCGTGCGTAAATTGCATCTTCATTTGCATTCCTCGTCCAAAAATCATGCAAATCTTAATGAGACGCTCTCCATTGTGGCTGTAATTGAAAAGCCATTCTTTGTTAATTACTGTTCCTCAAAGGCCTTGTCCGCAGTCAGTGAGCTGAAACAAAAAAAGTTATTGATTCTGGAGGTCGCGGGGTTTAGAAACGGACACGGAGGAATAATGTTGTTTATTGTGGCTTTCAGATGCCACTGTCGATTGTTAGGAAATCTCTCCGTCCTGTTTGGACTCGTGGAAAATAAAACAATAACACCTGCGCAGACAGGCTGTAACCATAAAAAAGGACAATAAAAACAATAGATGACAGTCTATTATTAGTTCTTTATTTGACTCTGAGTGGTCGAATGGTGCCAAAGTTGAGTCATGAAGCCAAGAAGGCAGGGGGAAGAATTGATTATAAATGTTGGATAAATGTGTCTTTGTTTCCTTTATAAAAGACTCTCACTCCCATACACCTCTCTGCTAATAAAACCTTTATTTCTGTTTGAATTATTTCAGGGCCCGAGGCCTTTTATTTTGGTGCAAAAATAGAAATATATCACGAGATCCAAGACTGATCTGGTTCCTAAATATAGCGTAAATTTGAAGACGTAAATTTGCAATTTGAAAAGAAATTATTATTTACAATAACGCCATTACTAAAAAGGAAAATAGGTCACTTTTAACAGAAGAAATGTAAGAGCAGACAGCGATTCCTGGCGTTACGCACAAAGAATTGCGTAATTGCGCAATTAGTTTTTATTTTTAATTCCAAACATTAAATTCTTGACGATTCTTCTGCAGTTCACGCAAGTTTTATCCACGCTAGGTCGTTCATATGTATCTCAACATTTCTCCTTTGCGCCCTGAGAGCCTCCTCTAAGGTCTGTGAGTCTGAATCGGAGCAGACTGTGCTGGTGGTCCTCTGCTCCTTAATTAGGAAATTAGCTGCACAGAGGCCCTCATTACCCAACTCCGGGTTACTCCTGGTGATGTGTTTTATTCTCTCTCTCTCCCTCTCTTCCTCTCTCTCTCTCTCTCTGTACTACCGGTCCATTTCCATAAGAAGATTACAAGCGGATCAGTATTGAGATGTGGCCAGATAAACAAATAACTGCTCCCTGAGAATGGATGGCTGCTAATTAGACTTTAGTTTTATTGCTGCTGCTGTATGCGACGCCCCATTGAAGCCAAAATTAAATTCATGAAGTGATTTCTCCTTTCACATGATTTACTGCGGAGTAGCCATGGCTGACAGGTCTCCCTCACTCGAAGATAAGAGCAGATTTAAAAGCAAATGTGTCTGTTAAAGTCCTTTGGATTGACTTTGAGGGAAAAATAGTTTTGATTTTGTTCCCATAGAAACACTTTCAGAAAAACTTTTTTAACTGAAACTTTGATTTTTGCATGACAACGAAGAAAAGCAAAACTGATTGACATAATATTATCCTCCAAATAAACTTTTATTTTACTTTGGAAAAGGAGGAAAATCTGTGTATGTTGTATTTTTACGCGCATTTCATTTACTCTAAAACGAAATTATAATCTTAAAAATCCACGCAACCCTCCAGGTGAACGTCAGATTATGACGCTCCAGGGTGAGACTCTTAAAAATGCACATATAGCAGATGATCCCGCGGAGCCCACGCAAAAAGCCGAGGTGTTAATGGTGGCTTTCGATGAGCGAAGTGCCCGTGGTCATTAGCAGGTGTGACTTTTTTTGAGCTCTGACTGAGTTTCAGGTCGTTTGTAAGGACACACATGCAAATGCAGACGTCTATGAGAGGTCATTTTAATAACCATTAACACCGTGGGGAGAAAACAAGTCAGCAAACAGAAGAAGGCTCAGACTCAGACGCTGCTCCCCCGGGACTACGGAGATGTTCTGTCCCCTCCACAAGAGGTCGTTGATGCATTAGAGTTAAGCTTTTTGGGAACCTGAACCACGATCAGAAAGAAAAAAAACAACACAAGAGGCTTCCTGAAATTCAACCCAAAGGGAACATGACTGTCTGAATCAGGTTCGATTAAAAGCCTGTATTTATACAAAAACGTGAGCTGATGACACGAGGGAGAAATTTGGATAGCTGAAAAACATGAATGAAATTTTACTCCCATTCAAGCAATGAATTACAATTCTAAGGGAAAAATATCCTACATCTGATATAATCCAAAAATCAGAAAAATTGTTCACTTTGCTCCTCAATCTCCAAACTTTTCGGCGATGATCCAGCAAAAAAAATGTTTTCAAATCCCCAAAATAAGGCTGGCATTTTTTTTTTCTTATAGGTAAGTTTTTTTTTATTTTTATAAAAGTGTGCCTAAAGTAGGAAAAACTCTAATTTATTGCATGTTAAGATGATGACAGGATTCCTCACTGCCATAGGCGCATTTTATGTCAATATTTCACTCTTTTCTTCGGTAATTGAATCTCAACATAGGTTGTTTGGGGTTTTGTCTGGACTCGCCTCACCAATTAATTTATCCCCTCAGACTTCTGTTTCCTTGCAGCCTTAAAGCTACACGTGTAAAATGCTAAACGGTGGAAACAGACTGTATTACCTTGTTATCTTTGTTATCGTGTTTAACTCAGTCGAGCTTCAGCTGTGAGAAAAATTAAATCAGTGTTGAAATCAAGTTAATTTAGTGGATAATTATTTGCAGATGATAAATTAGATCTGAAGTGTCAGCCTTTGTTAAAGATCAAAATAAAACTCTCATCATATCTCATTCTCATTCTCTCATCATAAACTCAGTAAATCTCGAACATTTTGCTGTTTTTAAAACTTGAGCTCTCCCTCCTCCTCTCACCAAAACACCGCTCTGTGCGCTCCGGTTGGCTCTACGGTGGATCTGTGGAGCTGCGCGCTGATTGGTCGTCCGCTCCTCATTGTCATGCTGTCAATCCACATCACATGGTCCGGCCACCAGGCCTATTAACAGATGAGCTGAAGAACAAGTTTCAGACTTCTGTTTTGGAGCCGTGAGGGACAGACCGAGCGGAGAGAAACTCGAAGCACCTGCAGACTCTGTTGCCTCTTTTGGCACAACTTTTTTCACCTTCTTATGAGACTGGTCAGTACCTCTACCTCTTTGACTTCTGGCGCTACTTTGTGAACTTTCTTTTTTTTTGTTTCACGTGCCTGTGAATGAACTCTTTAAGAATGTATAACATGATGGAAACCGAGATCAAGACCCCGCTCCCGCAGTCCAACTCGGGCTCGGCGCCGGGCGCAAAGAACAACAGTGTCAGTGACCAGGAGCGCGTGAAGCGGCCGATGAACGCTTTCATGGTGTGGTCCAGGGGACAGCGGAGAAAGATGGCGCAAGAAAACCCTAAAATGCACAACTCTGAGATCAGCAAGCGGCTCGGTGCGGACTGGAAACTTCTGACCGACGCTGAGAAGAGACCATTCATCGACGAGGCCAAGCGTCTGCGCGCCATGCACATGAAGGAGCACCCGGATTATAAATACCGTCCCCGCAGGAAGACCAAGACCTTACTCAAGAAAGACAAGTACTCTTTGCCGGGTGGTCTTCTTGCACCTGGAGCCAACGCCGTCAACAACTCTGTGTCTGTGGGGCAGAGGATGGACGGTTACGCGCACATGAACGGCTGGACGAACAGCGCGTATTCCCTCATGCAGGACCAGTTAGCGTACCCGCAGCATCACAGCATGAACAGCCCACAGATCCAGCAGATGCACCGGTACGAGATGGCGGGGCTCCAGTACCCCATGATGTCCTCGGCGCAGACCTACATGAACGCGGCCTCCACGTACAGCATGTCTCCGGCGTACACGCAGCAGACCCCCAGCGCCATGGGACTCAGCTCCATGGCGTCAGTGTGCAAGACCGAGCCCAGCTCCCCGCCGCCGGCCATCACGTCCCACTCTCAGCGGGCGTGTTTGGGGGACCTGAGGGATATGATAAGCATGTATCTGCCACCCGGCGGAGACAGCGCGGAACACTCGTCTCTGCAAAGCAGCCGGTTACACAGCGTCCACCCGCACTACCAGAGCGCAGGGACGGGCGTGAACGGCACGCTACCTCTCACACACATCTGAGAGAGAGGAAAAAGAGAGCAAAAAAGACTCCTAAAAACTTTTAAAAAAGTACTTCGGATACTTGAACTTTCTTGGTTGCTAGAAACAACGTTCATCAAATTTGTTTTGTTCAGAAACAGTTTAATATTGAGTTGTCCATTTTGAAAAAAGAAATAGAAATGGACCTGTGAGTGTTGAGCGTTGAGCCCGTCAGAGTAAGAAAAAAAAGGCTTTTTATCACTAGTATAAAGCAATCAGACATATGTAGAAGAATTGGACTTCTATATTTTAATGAATGCCATATTTTCTCTCCATGAAAGGGCATGTGGCCTCGTTCAGAGAGGCTGGTGTATTTCAGAAAAGCTGGATGGAAAAAAAGTTGCTCATAAATGTTTACACTTTATTTGTAGAATGTCAGTTGTCTCGACTGTGTCCAAAATTTTTTGTAGTCTTCTTGTTTTTCTCCTCCTCCTCCTCTCCCTCCTCATGAAATTTAGGTTACAAAGAAATGTAAAGACTGTGCGGGTCGCAAACGCAAGTTTTATTTATAGTAAGATTTTTTTTTTTCGTTTTAGCTTGTGAACCCGTTTGTTTTTGTCATGTGAATAATGTTCTTCGATTTTTTTTTTTTTTTTTTTGTAAAATGTTATTTTCTGTGATGGTTCTGACAGTGTCATGTTTACTCATTCTCCTGAACGAAAAGGTTTATTTAAACTGACGTTTCTACATATTTTAAGACCATCCTCTATTCTTAAATGCTGAATAAATTTGTACGAAACATGATTTCTGACTTCTGTCTTTTGTCTGTGTAATGATCTGATGTGTGGGAAAGATGGTTTGGTTCCTTTAAAAAGCAGGTTAAAAGTTGGAAACTGATGATCATGTGTACAGAAGTGACAATCTGTCATGATTATCTGATATTTTCACCTTTTAAACATTTCATTCTTATCTTGGGGAACTTACCTTTTAATTTTCTGAACAAAACCTAAGGAAAACCTGGATTTTAAGAAAAGATGTGTAGTTTAAAAATCTCGAAATCAAGAGCTTTATTTTGAAAAACTCCTCAGGCTGTTCCAGCTTGTTATCTAATGTTTAAACTGACTCATTCAGAAAACAGAGAAAATGATTTCCTCTTGCTGTTGAAAGTATTTTGTATCCCCGTGGAAACAAACTATATCTGTTACCTGCTCAAATGAAAAAAAAACTTCCTTGTTTTTACTCATTCACAAGTTGACTCAAAATCCACAAACTCCACAGGTTGTCTTCATTGTGTGACCCTAAGTTGGCCCCACTGGGTTTTTCACATTTTATTCCAAAACTTAAGTGAATTATTTTAGATTTTATTTAAAAAAAAAAGAGCATTAAAAAAGGAAAAATGAAAAAATGTGAACTTAACATTTACATTAGGCTCCAACTTTTAAAAGTCAATGTAATCGAACCCTTGAAACTCGCCTTGAATGATTTTCTGAGTGATGTTTTCAGTCCTGGAAAACAAATGTGCAAAAAAAAAGAATTTAAACTTTATTTTTGGTATTTAAAAAAACAACCCATAATAACCCTCACTGGGACTGTAAAGTAGTCCATTAAAAGTATAATGCATTTTTCTCATTCAGTGTTTTAATTGGTAACCTGTGCGGTGAAACTCCCACCTTTCTTAACGCTGCGACATCTTTAAACAGTCAGCGCTGCAGCGTGAAATCTCTCTGTTAAAACTCAGCAATAGCAACACCAACAAAAACAATATGCTTTTTCTTTTTAACAAAAATCATTAACCGTTACAATAAAAAGCTTCTCATCACTGTATGTATTTAACTAAAAGTCCAATACAGTAGAGGTTTCTTTGTGTGTGTGAATGGAGCAGTAGTGCACCTCAGCACAAATAACCGTGTGGCCACCAAGAGGGGCTGAGGCAGTGGCGGTCCCGCTGGCCTTCCCACACTCCCTGCAGGACCTGATCCACAGCTCAGCACAGCGGCCTGGATTAGCCCCACGCACCTTTGTGGGGGGAAAGATTATCCAGACCTCCCTGCATTCACTGACAGGGTCTTAAGTCATTCTAGCGTGCCAGCAGCCACCCGTCACCTAATCACACTTTCCAACTCATTTTTTTGTAATTAAGCAGCTTTTCTTCTTCCTGCGCCTCCATGTCAGAGGGTTTGCTTTAGGTTGGACGGAGGGAAGATTTTTGAAGCCGTTTATCAGAATCTGAGAATTATTTCACAAACACCCACTCAAGGGTTAACTTTTAACAACCAATCAATCAGTTCAAAACAACTTTATCGAGTCAACAGTGCTCCAAAGCTGGTAGAGTCAAAATGCGCATCAAACACAGCAGCTGGAATAAGGAAGTAGGTCCTAAAACTTGATCGAACTGCAAAATGACACTTAAAAGGATCTGATATACAAAAATGATCAATGTTGGGAAAGTGTAACTTTTAAGTTTTTGCTCATGGAGTTTCTGCAAAAGTTTCGAACAGTGTGAAAAATTTAGTTAAAGTTTAGTACAGCCAAAGTCAGTGTGATTAAAATAAAGAGAAGAAAAAACTGGTCTATTTTCTGTTTCTCTGTGTGGTCTCTCGGCTTTGGCACTGAAATGTCATCCCTCATTTAGGGAAAGGTGTGTGTCCGAGCTGCGCACGGCCATTGATTGTGTTTGAATGTTCTGGCAGTGAGGCCATCCGACTCGGGCTCCCCTCCACCGCCACTGCCCCCCTCTACCCCCATCCCCCTAACTCTCCCCCTGCTGAGCACCCTGAGGGCCTCTCTCTCTCTCTCTCTCTCTCTCTCACCCTCTCTCTCTCTCTTCTGTCATGTGCAGCTCTGTGCCCACTCAGCAAGTGCAGGCATATCCCACTTCCATCTGCCTATGACCTCACAGCCCCTGTTTGTTTAACCCCCTCTCCAAAAACTAACCTAATTATAGCCCTGTAGAACATGGATTCAGCGGATTCCCACTGGATTCTGCCACCGTGTGCACACATCTGCATGCGGCCCGTCCTGTTTTTTCACGTTACTCTCCTCACATTATGTCACAACACGCCCCGCCAGTTGCACTTCTTGTTGGGAGTACATGAGAACTAGGTGGTTAAAAAAAAAACCCTTCGAGTGTTTCTTTTTTTGGAGTGTCTCCTCTTTTTACGTCAGCGTGATGAGTGGAAAACCCATTACACAAATCTGACGTTGGTGACATCACCAATACTCGCCTGCTCGACTGGCTGGGTGGCTTCCTGCTGGAGGACACACCTGATTCTACTCTCAACACTTCATGTAATCTCAAACTTAAATCTGGAGCCTCCTCATATGTGCAGATCAGACATCAGCCAGCAGCATAGTTTGAGTGTAAGCCGATGATTGAATGAATGAATGAATGAATTAATGAATGAGTGAGTGAGCCTGGACAGGGACTTCACCTTTGACACATTCAGACTGTATTGATCTGCTGTGGCTGGGATCTCCAGGAGGCCCTCTGGAGGAGCCTGGAGGGAGCCTAGAGTGGCCTGTCCGGCTGGGTCAGGCCCTGTCCTCCACAGAGCAGAGGGACTCGTGTGAGGTGGTGAGATTGACAGCAGAGCGGTGTGTGCATGTGTGTGTGTAGAGGTGCGGGGGTTGGGGGGTGGGGGTTAATCTCCCTGAACTGGGGCAGATGTTGTTAACGAGCTCCTCTCAGGTCGACTCCCTGCGTGGGAAAATGGCATCAAATCCTCCTGGGGTCAGGGCTTCTGGGCTGACCCACTGAGAGCCATCCCTCTCCACTGCACCGTCCTCTCAACTCCCCCCTCCTCCTCCATTCACCCACCCACTTTCAGGAGGCAAAGACAAAATCACTTTTGACAATTTTTCTTTTCTTTGAAGTACATCCCCGGTTTCCCTCTCCTTGCCTGAACGCATGTGAGCGCCGGCAGACTTGTTGCGTGATGCAAATGTCTCATTAATGATAGCTGTGGTTGGAGTGCGATGCCTTACACAACCACAAAGAATGCTGAGTGGGAAACGCTTCAAAGACAAGCACGCCGCCACTCAACAAACTGCATCCGCCCAGTAGCGAGTAACTTGTGAACAAGTCAGTGGAAGGTAAATTGGTTGAATTAAGGCCTTATAGACTTTCAGGCGCCTGGGCTGCTATAGGGTAACTGAGGCTGCAGAGGTGCATGTGAAGTGAAAAAGTGTGCCTGATTGGCAGAGGTGGCAAAAGTACACACACATTCCCTGCCCAAACTAGACACCGACTACTTTTGTTAAATATGGACTCATTTAAAAGCAGAAGTGCTGATTCAATTTATTTACTGAAGTTTATTAAAAAGTCACTCGCTCAGAGTTCAAGAGTAAAATCACAGCTTTTCTTAAAGTTAATTTCAAGAAAGTTTACTCAACCTATTGCAATATTTAAGCAATCATAAAGTCTAGGTCTAAATAAATGAATTCAACTATCTGTTATTGGTATTTTCCTCCCTCTTGTTTCCTCTTCCTGCACTGATGCACCAAGTATTTGTCTTATTTGTGTTATTTTCCTTCCTGCTTTGTCTGAATGAGGTCTCAGTGTTGGGAAGGCAGCTGGTTTGAGTGGAAATTAAAGTAGTTGTCCTCACACACCTTAAAACTGAAGTTTTAAGTCTGATGAAGAAATTACAGGTGTTTCATGTAAGATATAGGGGCTTACAGTAATAAAGTAAGACCAAATTTGATATTGAAGTTATGAACAGATACCTAAAAGTTTTACACATACAGGTTTCTGTTGATCCTTTAAAAGTCTTGAACTAGAATTTTGAACACTTATGGTCAAAAAAGGCCTTTTATATATTCTTATTTTTACATGTAAGAGGCGGGTAAGTGCAGAGTGTGGAAATGTGTATTTAGATAAATATAGATGGTCACATTCGAGATTGAAACACTCTCCTGCTAACCTCTCCTGTTGGTTAAGCATTGTTGCCTGCAAGGACAGGAGGCTCCTGTGATATGAGAAAAGTACAATCGTCTCTTTCTTAAAATTTTACCATCTTTGAATTCCTATGTTTTATTTTGCGCTCATTAACCACTCTGTGCTTCCAAGTCTTCTAAAGGTGCATTTGCGGAAGCCACTCGCTTTATCCAAGAAACACTTGAATGAATATTTTATTCAGTATCTATCAAGTCTGCTTTGCCGAATGTTGCTATAAACTCTGCTAAATTACATGTTGAATGGCACTCTTGGACGTGTCTTTATTCTCTACTGAGAATAAAATCTACACTATCTCAGTAGTATTGATTTTTTTTTATTGTTGATTTGCTTGTTTATGGGACGGTTTAAGGAAGTGTATTACTGACACACTCATAAACATCCACTGAGCATTTTTGGTCTAAAAGAGATCTAATAGATGTTCTAAGTGTAGCCCAGATGACTGGTCCAAAATCAGGCTACCACAGGTCTAAAAATGAAAGTTTTTAGGCATCTAAATTTAAACCAGGTCTAAATCTAGGCTATATCTATACTACACTGTATATTGGTCAACGGCTATCATAATTATTTTGGTTAAGTACTTGGAGATCAGTTATGAGACTTAGGATTGCTTTTTTAAATAAATAGTTATTGAAAAATGGGTTAAAGTGCAACATCTAAAAATATACAGAATCTAGACGGTTGAAATTAGGTCTAAAAAAATCTAGACGTCTAATAACCGTCTATTGCTCAGTGGGCATGAAGGGAGGAAATGCAGTAGCAGCAGATGACTGTCATGAGTCTGGTTCTACTCAAGATAGTCTAGGCCAGCTTTTATGATAAGAGTCTTGAGATAACACTTGTTGTGGATCAGTGCTCTATAAATAAAGACTGATCGAAAGAAACTGAAAATCTGTTTCAGTATTAAAACAAGGAGGCGAGACATCATCCCCATAGATTTAAGCCATGGTGTTGTGAGACCTCTGCACAGACTGAATAAACAGTAAACACACACAGGTCAGCTGTGATGTGGCGCCTCCTCATCACTCATATCCGGAATGGGCAAGTCTCTTTTTACATTTCATGTCAGCCTGACTTACCGGTTAATACGAGGGTCATCCATTAAGGTGTCTGCCTCTGACGCTGTGTTTACTCTGCCCCGGCAGGTGTGTGTGAATATGAGACGTGTCAAATATGAGACGGGATTACCGCCTCTTTTGTCCCAAACTAAACAAATACAAATCACACGAACAGCTGAAATAGGAGGATCTTGTCCTGGGGTTTGTGTGTTTGAAGAGTTTGTTTCTAATGGAGGATCCTGTGGGTGTTTTTGTTCGACTAAGCGCTACTGAGATTTACTTGAACTTGTTTTCGCTTGTAATTGTGGTCGGAGGATGATGAGTAAAACCACACATGCACACACAAGCACACACACACACACACACAAGCAGAAATGAAACTGGATTAAGAGACGGCTTCTTGAATAACTTGTAGGGGCAATTACATCCAAACGGTTGCTTCTAAAGTGAGTTAAGGAGAAGCTCAGGCGCTGAGTGTGGAAAAGTGTATGTGCTGCAGATGTCTCTTTCCTTGTAGCGCTCATCACTTTGTCTATGAACACTGGAGCATGTAGCGTTGCTTTTAATTTCACCATACTACACTTGTGACCTCACTTCTTGACCCGTGCTGAAAGCCTAAAAAAACGGGGGCAAGTGTAAGAGTGTGAATGTATATACTACGCCTTGGGACAGCAGAGTGAGCATGGGACTGCTGCAAGACAATGCAGATTTGGGAGACAAGGGGGGGGTCGAGGACTTAGGGAGGAGATTAGGCTTCTCATGTAGGGCACAGATATTGATTAGTGTTTGTCGAGGACAGTGAGAAGGAACACGGATTGACAGACACACAATGGCGGTGTGGTGACTCAGCTCCATCACAATCATCTGATCATATCACTATTGTCACTGAGTGTGTTCACCCAGCAACCTGTGCCCACATGTGCAACCCCCCCATGCCAATGCAAACACCCAAATGTACAAAAGACACGCAGCTCTGTGGAAAAGGAAATGGCGAAATGTGCCAAAATGAAGAGCAAAGGTTTATTTTCCTGTGGGTACCGGTCAGTTTAGGTGCTCTTTTTTATGAGTGTGTGTCTGTGTGTGGTTTACGGGAGTGAGACCCTGGGAACATGGCAGGGGGGGGTTGGACACCCTCCACTGTGGGTCAGTCCTGACTGACTCTGTCACTTATTGATTAGTTGCCATGGAGAGTTAGTCAGGCCATCTCTCTTGGAGGTGTGTCCCCGAGGGCCCGCAGCTTTGCCCAGATGAGCCGGTGGAGGCTTTGTCTGCAGGGGGTGTAAGACTGTGCATGTATGTGTGTGTGTGTGTGTGTGCATCTTCAGTGTGACTCTCACTCTCTCTCCCTTCACTCTCATCCCTCTTCTCCCTGACCCCCCTCTGGTACTTTTTCTTGCACATTAACATTACGAGCTCCCGCTAATCTGCAATATCTAAACTGCATCAATGTTTATGCATACACCTCCTCCCAAGAGGCCTCTAATAATAGGGATTGTAAACAAATTGTCCAAAGTTATTGAGCTGTGAAATCCCCCTCATAGCCGTCTAGATTGGCCTCCTCATATGATCCTCTCTCTCGCCGCAGCCCTTGCATCGACATTGTTCCCATCAAATTTGGAGAAGGAGGAGTGGGTGTGGACTTGGTGGTGCCAGAGATTCACCTGCAGTAGCTGATGACCTGAGTGACAGCCCAGCAGGGGAGCAGTGAAGGTGACGGTTTTAACATCTTTTGGAATAATAACAAGGGGTTAAGGAGATCAGGTTGAGAACGAGGCAGAAGCACTTAGAGACAGAGTGGAGACTGGGGCACTGAGACTATGCAGTCACTATTTCATCGTCTCGAGGACTGATCTGTACCTGAATACCAGGAGTAGCTAGTTATTAAGCATCACCGCATTAAATAGTTTAAGTTCTCTCTTTTTTGCTTGTAGTTATAAAACTCAGATATAAGATTTCTGCCAGTAAAAATTGAGCAGGAATTGAGAAATCACTCTAACAATTCATAAAAGGTTTTAAAGTTGAGCTCCTGGTGCAGCTATGAAAAATATCTCACTGTGTGTGTGAGAAGTTCTTTTGTGCTGTGACATTTTGTACTTTCACTTTTGTTTCCCTTTCAAATGGACTATGATTCCAAGAATAGTAGTAGCTGTAGTAGTAGTATAATGGTAGTATATATAGTATTAGTAGTACATAGTGTAATGGAAGTAGTTGTAGTAGCTATACTTAAGCCCTCTAAACTTAACCATCCTTACCTGTTTTTCCCTTTTGGATATCGTCTTAACGCTTTCACTATATTTTCTGATCTTAACCATTTTTCATTTCATCTGCAGGAGATAAAATTTTAAACATTGGAAACAAAATCTTTATTGAAATAAAATAGAATAATCCATCAATCTCCCAATATTTGAAGCATCTGCAGCTGCTTTAAAAAGTTGGTAGAATCAAAAGTTTAAAAGTCTTTAAAGAGGAAAGTTGCATGCAATTTTTTTTCTGCATAATGCAAACTTCTCCTTTAAGAATATGCGCACAAACTTCTTAACCCGAAACTTGACGACGGGCCCCACTCTCCCTCCCTAATATCACACCTTGGATGCATAAACATGCCTGTGCTCCTCACATCACCCCACCCCGGGGGGGCTGCTTGGCTTTAGTGCCGCACTGTGACACCAATCAGTGGAGATGGCGGGCTCCTTTGTCATGCAAACACCAATCGCTTCTTGTCTTATTCAAATGTCTGCCCTCTCTCTTTCTCCTCACCCTCACTCTCTCTCAACCCCTACCCCGCTTTCCTCCTCACCCTCGCCCCTCCACCCCCGACTTCAGCCCTCTCTCCCTCTCTTCTCTCTGCCTCTCCATACTTCTCAAGTCCAAGTAAATCCTCACTGAGAGAGAAAGAGGGAGCCTCGGGGCCCCGGGGGCCGCTGAAGCAGGCCTCTCTCCTGGGGGTCAGCCTGTGTCTCAGCGCATGGGGCTGTTTCCAGGCCCAACCAAGTCCATTTCATATTCAAATGTTACAATCAGGCCTCTGACCCACAGGGGGCTCTTTATGGCTGCGGCCCCAGGTCGCAGGGTCAAGATGGTGATTTAATAGCTCCGGCAGAGGAAAGGAGCAGGGGAGCCAAGTGATTTAGGGGATGAATGAGTAATAAAAAAGCATTTTTCCTAAGTTGTCATGTAAATTTCAATCCGTATTCAATATGAGGCTCCCTCCACACTAGAGGCCTTCCTCAATGGCTTTCTAGTGGACTTCAGTCACTCAGAATTAAGACAAGTCCATTTTCTGCTTTTACTCTTGACTTGTGCTTGGTGTAAACAGTAGCTGACAGAGAAGAGGCTGAGGATTAGGGATGAAGATAAGGCCACGTTAAGGAGTCATCGTGCTTGTGTGGTGCCACTGTGTCTCAGATGTCCTCATGTGCTGGAGTGGCCTGTTATTCCTGTCCCTGAGGGTGTGTTCCCAGCACGGCAGCTCCTGTAACATAGGCAGGTTTGTGTGTTTATGTTCGTATGTGTGACAGAGAGCAGGCTAGAGTATTGTGCTATCGTATTATGTGTGTAAAGAAGGTCACTCCATACGGCTTTTTGTCAACAGGTGGAAGGATGGAGGCACACAGTCAAAGCTTGGACCGCACATGTTTGAAATGGTTGTCAGGTATTTCCAAGTTTTATGACTCACATGGTGTGTCTCTTTTCTTAATCTGAGTCATTTAGGCCACAAACAAACCCTCCTATCCTCTGCCTCTATGAAGATCAGGTTGGGTTTACATCTATTTCTCTTCTTCTTGTTAACATTATCATAGGATACCAAAGGATAAACTATACATGTAATGTAAGGAGGTAAAACACTGTGACATCGGCTCAGAGACAACAGTAATCATAGAAAGACCAAGTTGTGAGTGACTGAGTGTCTTGCTAAAGGAACCCACTCCTCAAAAGTTTTTAGACGCCCTGAAAATAACATGTATGAGAGATTACCTATGAATACACACATGCCTTATACATGCAAACCAAAAAATGTTTGGTATATCCCCTCATGTACTGTGACCCTACACTAAATTTACACAGAAAATCCAGAAACATGTTCTCCAACATCAGTCCTTCACAATAGATCATCTCAAAAGCGGCAAGACCAAAAAAAAGCACCCCTCTTTAAGTTCCTTTTATTTTATTTTTTAAATACCGTTTCCACCCTTTTATCCCCATCACTGCCTGGATTTGTTTACACTGCTATGACTTAAAGAGCAATGTGCTCATAAAACAATCATTTTCCTCTCACTTACTCTGTCTTTTGGGACATTTCACTTTCTTAAAGCTCCTGTAAGGAAATTTTAATATAGGTCTACTTTGTCTCCCCCTGTGGACAAAACAGTTTATGTTTATAGTGTCCTTTACAAAAATCGTATCCCTCTGACTTTTGACACCCATATAAATCATTTATTGTAAGTATTTTATTGGGAAATAGTAAAACAGAGCTGTTTCTCCAGCTGCTTACATGACACCTAACATCCTTACATCAGTTTCAAGCATTACAAATTATGAGATAAAAATCCTTAATCTGGTTGCTGATGGTTTTGTTTGCTTTTATATGTAATGAAAATGCAGCAGTTTGAATTTCAGTATGTTTGAGAAATGTCAAAAAGTCTTCATAGGAGGTTTGAAGACCAAGGCTAAAAAGTTGATAAAGTTAATCAATAAATTGATGATCACAGATATGTAATTGGTAATAACATTTTAATGGTTAATGCTTTAGTCCTCTCCAGTGAAAGGGCTGTTAGTTTTTCTTAGATCTGTAAAAGACATGACTATTTAATCATTTTAAAAGAAACAATTTTGAGGTTTTTATGTACAACACATAAAGAAGGAAAGAAATAAAAGACCTCTTAACAGCTAAACAAAATGAAATGTTTTGAAATCTTTTAATGGAAACTTACAGTTAATAGTGAAATTAAATTAGATACAAAACTATTATAAAGTACCTACAGCTGTTAGCGGCCTCTGGACCAAAACAAGTTCAGAAGAGATAATAATCTTTTAAAGTCAAAGTATTAAAAGAAAAAGCAAATAGAAACAACAAAGGACACCTCAGTTTGTGTACACATTCATTAAAACCCTTATCAGATACAGTGTGTAATGTTTTTGCTCCTGTAATGTTTCACTTTCAATATGAACCTCAAAGAGTTGTCATGGTGGGTATTTGTGTCTGGATGTCTGGATGTGTGTATGTGGAGTCTTGGTGTGTGTTCAGTAACACGGTGGGAATATCACACAGGGACATCAGTTTTAAGCAGCTGCAGAATTAGTATGGAAATACAAAAGCATGATGGCGCCGTTATTGCAGACTCGTAATATGCAAAGAGCATCAATACAGTGAATGAGTTGAAGAAATCAGAAAATATTACAGCGTCCCTGATAAAAATAAAGATAACATAACTGTTGGAAAGAGTGGGTCTTGTTTCAAAACAGATGATCATATCTCAACTTTGTTTTCAGTGGAGAAAAAACTTCACACTGACAGCGGCAGAGTTCAGAACCGAAGGGCAGCTTGGAGCCAGGAGGTTGAGGGGCCACCACAGGGCAAGGTAAGGCAAGCCTGAGTGGGCACAGCTGTAGCTCACAGTCATTACTGCTCCTCTACTGGTTAAGAAGAAAAGGGCCGCTCCCGCCACATGGCCACTCTGCCACGCCTGCCCCCTGTCCCCCTGCCGCACACACAGGAAGGCCCTGGTAGAGCCAGGCGGCACCACTCGCAGTTTGCACTCACGTCACGTGTGGCAGGGGTAGCCGAGCCAAACGGGAGAGGTGTAGCAGGGTGAGGGACATGGCCAGGCTGGAGGCAGGGTGAGGGGTAGGTTGGATGGATGGGTGTAGAGGTTAAACCAGGGTGGAGAGGGGGGCTCTTTTCCTTCCTCTCTTATCTCCCGACTGACCATTCTCTTTCCCATCCCCTCCTCTACCACCCCCCTCCTCCTTTCTCTTTTGTGGCCTGTGCACCTGCAGCCCTTGAGTCTGGGCAATAAAGCTGAAGGATTTGTCTACTGGAGGCAAAGTGGGGGAATCATGAAGCATGGGGAGCACAAAAGCAACAGGTTCAAACTGTGACTGTTTGATATGGTGCTATGCCATATTGCAGAGTGATGGCCTTGATGTAATGCAGTTTGACATAGAAGGAGTGAGTTTAAGCAGATTTGCTTCCAGAATTACACCCTGCATGGGTAAGTGTCATGCTGAATCAGTTTGATCCAACACATGAACAGCTTTCAGCCTTTAAGCGTGCTTTACTTCCATGTAAGGATTACATGTATGTAAACTGATCAAATTCACTGAGAAGACATAGCCACAGAGGTCAAGCTTTCAAAGGGGAGAAAAATATATCAGATTCTAGCTGACGCAAAACCCAAGGACTTGAATTGAGAGAATTACCAATCTCTAGAGGCACTGTTAATTATTATCCAGTTGTATTAAACATTTTGTTTGTTATTCTGCAAGAGGGCTTTTGCTCCTGGTATTTAAAGTGTAATAATGTGATAATAGTTTCATTCCCCTTCTTTGTAGATCGATTTTATAAATCTTGGATGTATGAGTTGGTACAAAACTACTGTAACTCAAACTTGGAGTCACTAGGGTTTTTGATATAAATAAAAAAACTGGCAGTGACTCCTCCTTATGACCACTAGTAACTGATCTCTCAGCTCTCTTTTGTTTTATAATGTCTGTATCAGCAGGTACTTGAATGGACAGTCGACAGTACACTGCAGAAAAAGACTTAAAACTTTTTTAATTGCTTAAATAATTGCTGAATGTTCTGTTATGAAAGAACGCAAGATGAGACTTTAATGTATAAATTATCCATTTGCACACATACCTAACAAAATTAAAGATATAAAAGCTTTATCCTTTATCTTAGAGTTCAAACTTCTATAGGCTACTTTTGTAAGTCCAGTAGAAACCTTGCACATTGATTTTAGTCATGTTTGGGGGATACGTCTTAGTTTTTCATGGTTTGTACTGAGCAGGCAAATTAGGGTTATTAAACCCCAAATCAGGCATGTGATTAGCATTGGACAAAAAAGCAGGACCTCCACCTCCCACACACACACACACACACACACACACACACACACACACACACACACACACACACACACACACACACACACACACACACACACACACACACGTACAGATATAATGTCAATGAAATGTAGGCTATAAATAAAGGTAAAATGTACATATGGCACCTGTTCAGCTCACTGTTCAAACTCAGCCCTTATGTCCACCCTTAAGCCTTAGCGCTGAGCCCCCATGGACTTCTGAGGGTTTGAAGTCCATGGGGGTCTGATGTAATAAAAATGGGGAGGGGAACACACTGTAATGACACCGCACACTGATGCCCCATTTAATTAAAAGAAAACCTGTCTTCAGTGGGATTTAGATGTTGATCTTGTAGTGATTATTTTTTCTGGATATTGTGAAAACTCAGATAAATATCTGTAAAGTTCAGTTCACTTGAGTTGAACGACAACAAAAGTGATCAAACTTGACATGGTTAATTTGATTTTGGCTTATTTAATACTGTCCTTTAAATTTGTTTTGTCAAATTCAATATGCTTACATTTGTTCTGCATTCAGTAGGAGGCTGAACAGTCGCATGAACCCTGGATGAGTCTTACAGTTTTGTCTTTGCCTTTTACATGAGGTGGGTTGACCCTGCGTAGACCAATTACACCAACCTGAAACACCTTAAGACACTTTACATTTATCCACAATATCCCTCTGTATGTTGTTTTGTCCAAATCAGGGGACCAAATGTAACACAGTGATGGAGATATCAAGTAAAATGGCAAAGTGCTGGTCGTTGTTTCCAACGAGAGCTGTCTGTACTCTCCTTAACCCACATGGAGGTAAGTTTGCCACAAAAATAATCCTTTATTATCAAACTAAAACTGTGCAGTCCAATGTAACAAGGATGTATAGGTTACACGAAACAGTTCCCATCCATGTTCCATAGACTCTCCCTCCAATTCCCCACCTGTTGTAATGTTATGTTCAGTCATGTAGAACTTTTCTCTCACCCGCTGCATGCCAGACCCCCCACATTGTAAATCGGCGCAAAAGGAAAAAAGGTTCAGCTCTTTTCAGAGTGCGAGCATGAAGGCAGAGGAAATCACTCTAAACGGTCTTAATTCTGCCATTAGATGAGAAGCAGCGCTGAGGGGATTGGCTGGCCCTGCGCTCCATATTCACAGAAGCAGGATGAGGCTGGGAGGCCTGCTGAGAAAATGGTGTCGTAATCAGGAGCCGGCAGTTCTGCCTGATCAGGTACACTAGCCCCTCTCCTCCTTCTCCCTCAGAACCCCCTCCTCCACCTTCTCCTTCTCCCCCCACCTCATTTATCTTCCCTTCTCCTTGCCCCGTAAGGAGATCCTAATAAGAGTTTGGACGTACTGAGCTCCTCTTATGTGTGGACCTGGCAGGAGGGAGCAGAGATGAGGCCTGAGGTGGGGGGTTGAAGTTGGAGGTACGGTAGTTGTGGTGGTGGTAGGGAGTTTTTTTTTTTTTTTCGTTCCCACATTTGATTATTCAGGTTGGCTGAACTAAATTCTAAACCCATAAAATTCGTATCCCCTCTGGGGGACCATTTGCATATATTTCGGTGCCCCCTCCTTCTCTTCCCAATTCCCCTTTTTTTTCTCAGAAAGTGAAAGAGAGGGCGAAGCAACCAGGCCTGTCTAGGCTTTAAGATGTCACCGTGGTGTGAAATATGGGCGAACAAGCAGGGTCTTTGAAACTCAAACTAACCCCCCACCAGCCTCTGAGCTGCTGCCACACACACATATCCACACACAGTCGTCTTGTTGCCCTCCACTGGTTGCTTCCCTTAAATAGGAATTCAATTTCAGGCTGTAGTTACATGATCTGCAACTTTAGCATCAACTTTTACATCTTCGACACCTGATCATGGTGTGCTGTGGCGTCTCTTGAGGGTCCCACTAAGAGTCATTCTGGTCTGGGTAAGACAGCAAAGTTAGTGTGTCTGTGTTTTTTAAAATAGTGTATTTCGGGTAAATTTCTTCAATCTCAGGACAAACAAATTATTCACTGGATCGTATGAGTGCTACCGTTTACAAAATAAGAAAGCTGTGACATGTTGAACTCTGTCCATTATGTCAGCAGGGGCAAAACTACAAGGGGCTAGGACGGGTTCCAAATATTTGATAAACATGTCAAAGCAGTAAATCCCGGACTTGTAATCATGCCAATTTCACTCTTAGCGTCGTCGTTGTAGGGGATTAATTTTCAGACAAAAATGCTCTGAGGTCAGGTCTTAAAATTCCGTGTAGGATGTGTGCCGGGCTACAGAAAGAAGATCAAGGGAACACACATGTAGCTGGGCACACAGACCGAGAGAGGAAGGCTGGGGCTCCACATTGCCAGTCAGCCATAAGAGACACCTGTTCGTTTGTTTGGCGAGCAAACTCTGCGTTTTTGTTTTGCGCCGTGCCAAGCCGGCCTGCTGGCACCCGTTTACTGCCCATCTGTATGGACGGGAGAAGTTAGTCGATGGTCTTTGAAAACACAAGGGAGGGTGGGTGGATGGATGGGGGTGGTGGTGGTGGTGGTGTGTGTGTTGAGGGGGTGAGTGATACTTGATGGCATTTTGGTCACATGGGGCGAGTTGCTGTCATCCTTTAACCCTCCCCCCTTAGACCCTCTTTCCCTCCTCCCCCCCTCCCCATGCCCACTCCCTGGTGCACAGGCAGAATGCAGTGTCAGGAGGGTGAGCACTGAGCGCCCATTGTGTGTGCTAACCAAAGCGGAATGCCCGGGTGACAAAAGGGGGAGGAGTGGGCTCAGGGGCACACAAAGCCAGGGGGAGGAGAGGGTTTGGAGGAGGATGAGGAGGAGGAGGGAAGGAGAGGAAGGGGGGCAATCTGCTGGGGGCTAAATAGATCCTCTCAGCCCCCCAAAACTGTAGGCACCCTAAAAATCTTCTCCAACCTCCCCCCACTGGCTTCTCACCCTCCCCTGGGCCCTGGGGTGTACAGTATGTCTGATTCTCAGCAGAGTGAAAGTTTAGAACCTAAAACAACTGAGCCTCAAGCTATAACACTGGTTTTGGTGGGATGACTAATGGCTTTGCTGCCTGAAACTAGAAGTATCTGCCAACAGTCGCCATGGTTTCCAATCATTTGTCATTTGTCAGGGATGTCCTAAAGGCACCATCACTGTCAAAGGTTTTAAAACACACACGAGGGATTCTTTTCGGAAAAGTATAGTAAGCTTTAAATTAAGATGTTAAACAATATATATATTTATTAAATCCGTATATCCAGTAGTGACAAATGATACTAGTTAACATCATGTTCAGTCTGACTAAAATGTGTTTTTCCTGTGAATTTAATTAACATTGCAATGCGCTATCAAAATAGAATTATAACAATAAAATATGAATTAAATTGAACAATATGTACAAAAACATATTTCACAAAAGTTAACTAAAAGGGGCAACAAATAAAGCACCACAAATTCATCACAATAATTACGAGGAAGCCTTTCAGTAAAAAAAAATCTTTAAAAAGAAGATTCTGATGTAGCTAGTCTGAGTCCCGAAAGCAGAAGAACTGCTTTGTTCAAGTTCTGTCTGAGTTCAAGTAGTTTTACAGGCTTCCTTGTTCAATATCTATTAAACACTAAGTTTGGACTGCTCACACCCATGTGTCATCAGCGTAGAAGTAGATGTTATATTGTTTGATTCTATAAGTAAGTGTGGGAGCACCTAAAAAGAGATCTAAGTGGGTTGCAGTATTGACCCCTGAGGGACGCCACAATTGACAATGGAATAGAATTAACATTTTTAATAAATCAAATAAGCAAGAGACACTCCTGAGCGCTCCACCAGCACGATTTGGCAACCTCTCTATGATACGGTCATGGTTGACTGAATTAACAGCTACTCTGAAATCCACCACAACAAGAGAGGAAGAATGTTGATAGCTACTTTGAAAAGATCATTAGTAACTCATACAAGCACATGGTATTTGTAGAAAAGTGTTGAAGCATGGTGGTAATAAATATTCACATTATAAAGTCTGGATTTAAATGGTTGAAAAGTCTGTAACACTATCTGTATCTTGGACAATAGACCAAGGTTCAAGAGTGTGGTTTAACTAAATTTGTCCAAAACCGAACTAGAACTCTCCATAAATGCTGTTTGTCTCAATCTCATGGAGACCATAAGTTTAAGAATTTTTCCCGAAGTTGCTGCTGTCTGATAAATCAAGATCATATTTTTTTAAGAGATTAAAGTTAGGACATAAAACAGAAATTATAACCATTACATGGACTTCTATTTCTGAGAGGCTTATCCAAGTTGTACTGCTTTGCCCTCACCCTACTATCATGTTTTGCGATCATTACCAACATTTCTTTTTCTCAAAATCCCAGTTATTCTCCTTTCAGGTACTTTAAAAAAGTCCTGAGTTTCCTTTTATAATGTACTGTATGTAAATGTGGCTTTAAATGTTGTTTGTTCTTCATCTTTTCAGCCCATAGCAACTGATCTCTTAGCTTGTAAGAGACTTAAATTCTTGAGAGCGTACTCACTTTCCTTATTAATGACCTCTCTTGGATTCATACCTATCTATACACTCAGTAGGTGGAATTATACCTGTCTAACAAGAATGCAAAATTTGGCACACCATGAATCATCTGTTGTATTGTTTCACTAATTACATCAAGAACCACTTGGCATAAACTTATGATTACTTTACATTCTCATACTATTGTAATAGTTTATTTTCTGCTTCTTCACCGTGTGAAGCTCCACCTGTGACTGTGTGTCTTTGTTTTTTTGTGTGTTAAGTCTGAACATCGGGGGGCACATGTACATGTACTCACCTGCCTGATCTTGAAGCTGTGGCAGTCTCACCAGTGTAGTATCGCACGCACATAGCCAGCCTCCAAACTCCCACACAGGACCTAGGGCAATGGTGTGGCCGAATACAAGACAAACCCTGAATTTACTCTGTCTTCATTCTGATGTACATCCTACTGATACACGAACAAGCAGATCCACTACGGCTGTGGGGACTGGGTACTTAAGATAATTATAAAACTGGTTGTTTGACCTGAAAAATGCCTTAGATCAGCACTTGGAACCAGTGGCATCGGTCCGATTTTTCTGGTGTATAATTTTGCGTTTTATATAATGCTGAAAGACTACACCAAAAAATGTATCCCACTTACAAACTAGAACCAAAACAATCTTCAAATAAATCAGGTTTCATAATGAAAATCTTGATTTAATCTAAGCAGGGTTCCTACACAGGTATAGAAAAGTATGGAAGTAATTTGATCAATTTTCAGGTCTTAAAAAGTATGGTAAATGAAAAATAAAGTATGGAAAAATATTCATGTTAACAGACTGTAATACCACAGTTATAAAGTACTATTTTCTTATATAGAAAAATAGGTATTTCCAAAAATAATTCTAAAAAGTAGGTTATGGAAAAGTATGGAAATTCCAACTGTGTAGGAACCCTGTCTAAAGCTACTGTAAGTAATTTTTTCAGCATTGAAAATAACAAAAGAGAACTAGTCAACCCTTAAGGCAATGATTGGTGTTATTTTTAGTCTCTTTTTCATATTAATCCAAACTCTTCCCACAGGAGCTTTGTTTGTATTTCCCTTACTTTGATGGTCCTAAAGGATGTCTTTAAATGGGGTTAATTATAATGTTTTATAAACTGTCAATAGTAATAAACGGCAGTGAACAGTAGTCCATTTTCCTCAGAGTTGATTAGATGATTTAACACTTAGCTGGTTGAATTGATTTGCTGTGGCTTTAATTAACCTGTTGCACCACCCAGGTGCAGCCGCTGCCTGTGAGGCCACGACGGGGTCACTTTGAAGAGACCTTTTCGTCCCTTCTTCTGCTCCTTCCTCTTTCCCAAAATGATGACCGGCCAGATCAAAGGAGATGCTCTAAAGAAACTCCTAATGGTGACCCCCCACTTCTCTGTCCTCCTCCTCCTCCTCCTCCCTGCTTCATTCTCCCTCTCCCCTCATAAGCACACTTAACATCTGAACTCCCTCCTTCCCTCATTCATGCAAACCTCAGCTTTTCCCACCGATTTACATACGCTGCTGCAGGGCAAAGCTGGTTTCCCGTTTTATCTGTGCTGACTTCATAGGAAGTAGCTTGCTGAGTTGTTTTGGTTTGTGTGTTGTTAGTGAAACAGGAAGGGTCAAATGCAAGCCTGGGGGGTGAGTTTAGGTCACAGAGTAAACCTGGCGAGGTTGATCCCTCCAACTTTTTCAGTCACATGATGTCTGAGTGTTTAGGTAACCTTGTGTGTGTATGTGTGTGTGCCTGCACATGTACTCATGCATGTATGCACATTGTTGTTTGAATGTCAGGTGAACAGTGCTGGTGCAGTCAGAGCCCCTCCATCAGCACTGACCCCGGCAGCCATCATTGTTCTCAGGCTGTAAATCACCCTGCTGCAATCAGGGCCTGATCTGGGCTTCTCCACTCCAGATGATTCCCTTCCTGATTGGCCTAACTGGACTCCTGTCTGTGGAGGCAGATTAGCATGGATTGTTTTTCTCTGTGGCATACAGATTGAGCCATGTTAGCATTCGCACCTCCACATGGCTCCAGCGAGAGGCAGGGTAGAACCAAACTTCACTCATAGCATGACTAACTTTTGGAGCTTTAGAAATATAGTTTACATAGAGAGATAGTTGTTGAAAGACATAGTTTACATGTGTTAGTATGTAACCACAGTAGTTCTTTACATCAAATCAGTTTAGTTTGTCCTCTGGAAAAATGATAAGCCTTTACTCAACAACAAAGTTTCTTAGACCTGCTAGCTTTTGACAGGTGATGCTTTGTGCGAAGGTGATATCCTCTTAACAAACATGAAATACAGACAAAAGTAGCACCAAGTGTTGGTAGGAAAATACGAGACAACCAATTGCAGATTTTAAAAATAGAGCCAAATCTTTTGTCATGTAGCTAGGTTGAGGCGGGATGTTTACACCTCTGTCACATTTGACTAATATACGTAAATGTCACAGAGGCAAAATGGTGTGACCACACGGTGTGCAGTGGTGATGCATCAGAGGTAATGACAGGAAAGGTGTCACAGGGGCGAGGCAGGATTGCTGTGAACTGGTGGAGCAGGCAGGACAGAACAGTAGTGCGTGTGTGCATGTTTGAATTCATGTTTATGTCAAGCACCCATTGTGTGTCTGTACCAGATGCCCCGTGTGTTTTGAGTTGCACTAATGTGAATTCACATGCTGGTTTAAAAAGGGTTTGATGTTGACATAGTAAATAACCAAATCTCTGCAAATGCTTTAATATCCTCTGTTTGAATATCTCCTTTATTGTTTTCTGCTCTTTAAATGAAGTGATTGAGATCATATACCGGTTATAGCCTGATCAGGTGAGACTACATTTACCTGCAGGGGTTCCCACTTACAGTGGCTCATATAGTTTTAACTCCTAGGGTCATTTGTTCTCCCAGTGGGGGACGATTGGTCTGAGCACCTTGTCGACGGTAATCAGGGAGTTACCACTGGCTGGAGAGGCAAGGCCCATCACCACCCATGGAGAGAGACTGGCTTATCTACCTCTATCTATGCAATCATTAGGGAAATGACAGCAGTCTGTGATACCAGGAGCTGAGGTTTAAGTTGTGATGATGGTTAAGATCTTTAGTAGAGGTGGAGACTAAGTTGTGTATACTGTATGAAAATGTTAACTCTGAAGAAACAAGCTCTGTCACCTAACTTAATAGCTATAAAAGTTTCCATTCAGACCCACAATCTTCAGCTATTTTGATCCATTGCATCTTATCAAGGAATCAAGTGATACAATGGAGTTCTCAAAACAACAATACAGTGGCTAAATCCAGTCTGAATTTATCAAGTGAATTAAAGCGGCAGATTCCGTAACACCGTGTTAGACACCCCCTCGAGAGATGAGTGTTGCCGACCGCTTGCTTCTCTAGTTATCATTACCCATATTGATTGTTTTGCCCTGCAGACACAGTAGTTCTTCTGCTTAAGCGTCTCAGTCTAATTGCATTTCCATGAAGAAATAAGCATAAAATCTCTTAACTAAAGAAATCAAGCAAAGTTAAAAAGATGTTTGGTGGCTAGTGCAGTGTCCGGGACCCTGTATGTACTGTTGATGAAGTTAGGTGCTGTTCTGAACATTATTTGTGGCTATAGAGTGGCGTTTTGGTTGAGGTTTGTGTGTGGTTCCACAGACTGCTGTGTATTGCTATCGTGTGGTCGTTACTAAAGTTGGTATAACCAGAGAAGCAAGCGGTCGGCAACATTCATCTCTCGAGGGGGTGTCTAACACGTGTTATGGTGTGTTTGACCCTAAATTAATTTTACGCTGGAATATCCCTTTAAAGCTTTGTGATTGAACAGTTTTTAATGATCTCTCTCCTGGGAATCATAGTAATCCCCTTGCTAAAAATATTCTGGTACCCTCTCACACTTAGGAATAGAACAGTTCTTGCTAGATATTTTCTGTTAATTCAATCTAATAATTTAATCAGACCATCTGTTGAAAAAAAACACGGGATTTCTACTTCCTGAACCAGTTGTTTTACGTTGCCGTGGCAACGGTCATTGCTCGGGCCTCATGGAATCCTGATGACATCACAGGTATTCCAGGCTGTGTGTGTACAGTGATCAGGGGGATCACAGGCCTCAGGCAGAGAGCATGAGAGAAAAACGGTGACTGCAGAGGGACAAAGACAGCCAGAGTTATCTATTCTAGACACACAGCTATGTGTGGCATGCATTCACTCATTCGCACAAGCTGATCAGGCTTTAAGTGACAAAATTCAGCTTTAATTTTACTGCAAGACTGAGCAATTTCAACATGTGGGCTTTCATGATATTGAGGACTGATGCTGAGTTTGGAAAGACTGTGATAATGTATGAATAGGTGCGACTATTATTCAAGAATTTTTTTAACAAGTCATGAATAGCAAACACAATGTTACCATTAACTTCTGATGGTTTTTCATGCTTTTAATCGACCAACAGAAGGGTCATAGAAATTGAGATAAGGAGAAATAAGACCCCTTATCAGTCCCTGTGAGGAACTTTTAGTTAGTATGTTACACTTCAATGAAATGATTAATTGCCTTCGTCTGACTAAAATGGACTTTTAAAATGCATGTAAACACATTAATCCATCTGAAATCGAACTTCTCATAGTCAGACTAACAAAACATGCGGTTTGAGATCAATTTTCTCTTGCATGCATACGGCTCAATCAAACTTAAACTGGCCTGAGAGATCGGCGCATGCTTCAGTGTTTTCATGCCAGGCTCTGAGTCAGTGGCGCTCGTCCAGAGACCAGCAAAGATTTGGAGTTGAGGCTGTATCTTCAATGCCTGGCAAATCAGACTCACTCTGAGTGGTGCAAATTTTGCACATCTCCTCCACCTTCATGCAACCAATATGAATGATTTATGAAAATTCCCCCTTGACAGCCCATGTAACAGATAAAGAAATGAGGTTTAGAGATCCACCTTTATTTTTAAAGGAGACAAAAATCAATCAATGCAGTAAGATTGTTGATTTTTTTAACTTTACAATTAAATAAACAACATTTCTCAGGCTAAGACAAAGGTCAAGGAAAATAATTTCAAAACTGATATGAATTAAGTTGTTTTAAAAGCTTGCGGAAAGACCCATGAGTTTTCTTTCCTGCTTTGTGCCAGATGGTCCCTAACCAAACAATAACAACAGAGGAAACTCAAGACTCGCATCTTAACACTGACTAAGTTATTAATCAGATGAGATCCTCCCAGGGGAAGAGAAGGAGGGAGCTGGAGTGGAGGAAACAGTATGTGTTGTACACATCCTCACCTCCACTAATCCCACCTCATGTGTCTGAGAGTGACTCTCTTGACATGGGCGTAATTCTAATTATGGTGATTTATAACTCGTTCCTCCAGTTACTAACATTGAGTGACATGGCCTGTTTGTTTCTTTAAGGAAAGGTGGCTCATCATTACTCTCTAATAAGTAATTCTTCTCTTGGATTTGCACCAACAGCTGGCGCAGTAATGTGTGCATGTGTGTGTGTATGTGTGTGTGTGTGTGTTAGTGTCTGTTATTCTGGCTTGTGTTTACACGATGAAGGCCGGTTTCTCTGGCTCAATCAAGTACTCCACTGTTTGCCTAATGCTCTCCTGTTGACATATTGTGCATGAGTTTGCTTATTGTGTGTGAGTGTGTTTACCTTTGCGAGGTGGGGCAAAGGGGTCCGAGGGGCGAGGAGGTGGTGCCGGTGCTTGGACCTCATCTCCCAGGAAGCTCAGTGTGCTCCAGAAACCTGAGCTTCAGCCTGTTAAGACAATGAGGGGGAACACGTGAGACTCTGGCACATGGTGGCTAGGGTTACCTGCTCACTCTGCCTCCTTGTTGTGAACTTTTGGCCCTTGGAGCCAAACCTCCCCACCCTTATGACTCCAGTGCCGCTCCACCTTCCTGCTCTGTCCAGCCTTTTCTCGGCACCTCCCTTTCTAATGCGTGTTTTGGTTTGCGTTTCTTGAATCGTTTATGTCTGACAGGTTTGTGTCTTACTTTCAGCAATTCCTCATTTGAGTCTCTTGTAGAATTTTGCCCTCTGCTCCTGTTTCTCACTGTTCTTTAAGTCATTATGATTAATGGTCTTCTGAGTGAAACACTCATCGACTAAATACTTCAATTTTTTTTGTCTGTGTTTGTATGTTTACTGTCTGTCTCTCCGGACAAAAGCAGACTGGGCCCCGCCATCAGATCTCCATCCATCCACAGTCCACAGGTGAACTCCGTCCTCTAGCCAGGCAAACCTGACTGTCAAGTCTCCCACCCACATCTATTGGACTGTTGTCCTCTCACCTGTGCAAATAAGACCGAGAGAGACAGCGGCAGGGAGGGTGGAAAAAAAAAAAAAGAGAGTGAAATGGAAAGATATCCCAGCCTTTGGTTACTGGGTGGGGCGCAGAAAAGAATACCGCACAGCTGAGCAAACCTCCATAGCCATAGGACTTCACCTGTACACTCCTCTCCTCTCTGTTTTCTCTCCCTTAATCCATTCTCTCTTTCTGTAAGCGGCCCCACAGCGATAGCAGGCTAAGGCTTTCTTTTATGGCCCTGAATAGAGATTTCCTTTGAGGTTATGGAGTTGATACACTCTCCAACGTCACTTTTGTTGCCGTGGTCATAATGTGAAGTGATTTAGTGCCTTAGGGGACGCATACGCTCTTTAGAAGTGTACCTGTGTAGGTGCAGGCATTATGTGGATATTATTCAGGAAATCCTTTTATCTTACAATATCCGCAGCAGAGGTTAGATTTAATTTGGAAATGTAACATGTAATCTTGATCAAACTGCGCTAAACCGACTCGCTGAGTGAGGAGCCCAGCTGGGGATATGCTTCACGACGTGTTTGATATAGCGACACGAAGCATCTCTGGCAGCTTCGGTGAAACTTAAAGCTCAAGTGTGTGCACAATTAGAGGGCACACTAATTCTTTTTTTTTCTAGAAAAGAGCACCACAAATACATTTTGTACACATTCCTGAAACGCATGACTGCCGAAACACAATGTGTTCATCAACAGCGATGCGGCTGGCTGAAATGTCGGATCAAAACAAAGTTACCCCACATGCTCGTTTGTTGCCTCATGGTACGATAAATGTGCCGATATGATCTAAAAAGAAACATAAAAAGAACTTTATCAGGTGAGAACTGTTGCCACCCAGCTGGATGCAAGGGAGAAGCAGATGTAGGCAGAGATACACAGGAAGTCACTTTAGGGTGTTTTCGATCGTGAATAGAGTGATGTGCTTTAGAGCTGCCTTCATGATGCACATCCCAATGCCTGATCCTACTCTAAAAATGTTGCTTTGATGGTCGCAGGAATTTCATGTGATAGTGAGGCAGAAGTGAAGCATATCACACGAAGGCAGGCACACTCTCACACTTTACGTTCTTCCTCCCTTCTCTCTCTCTTTCTCCTCTCTGCAGGTTTGGGCCTGAAAGACGTGCCAGACCTGCTGCCAAAGCATCGGCCTCCACCTCACCCTGCAGACATGGCTGAAAACACACACACACACATGCATGCATACACACACAAACACGCACACACTCGTATAGTTATACCCATGAACATCTCTTATACAAGTTTTCAAGCATGTTTGCATATTTTTTACTTCTTATATCTCCAAAAACTCCCATCATGCATTTGGACCTAGAACTCTCCTGCACACACACATTCTTGCCATCTCCACACTATCTCTCTTTGTGATGATGGAGTGGCAGCACACTCGTCATTCCTCGTGTCAGACGTAGACACAATTGAGCCGCGTTCACACGCTCTACTAGGACGAAAACATAAACACACACATGCGTTCGGCCTGACAGTTGTCTTTCAAGCTTGCCCTATTTTTAAAACTCTGCGCACACCTACACACATTCTCCCATGCTCGGGCACACCCACTGCAACCAGCGCCATGCTGTTCTCTCTTCGTCGCACTGAACACCCTGCACTGCCGCAGTTAGGCGGGGGAAAATTAGTCAGGTGAAGAAAATCTCGACACCTGACACTAGTGGTCTCTCTTTAAAGTTGTTTGCACCACCGCCCCCGTACTTAATGGTACAGCACCTACTGATTATTGCATGTTCTGGGCTAGTCGGGTAATTGCACAGTACATACCTGTTCAGGGTGTAAGCCCATCCACTGAACACGGGGCCCCTCTGCTAGAGCTGCTTGCGGTGTTGTCGTAACTAAGAGAGGGAGCCTCCTATCTGTCATTAACTATCAATCACCATCAGCATGCAACCCCACTCTGTTATGCGTTTTTCCCACAGTCAATTTAAAGGAACGTGTCGAAGTTTAAGTTCTTATTTCGTGCGTATATAGAAGATTCGATGTCAAACAACCACCAGGAGTTAAAAATCAAACCCACAGAAGGAGAATCACCCCTTCAAACGTGGAGTCATGATGGTTTTTCTACAGTCATCCTGTTTATGAGTCAGTGCTCACTTCCTAATCCTGTGGTTATTTTCATAGCATCTGAGTGAGTCATCTGCAGCATATTCATGTTTTGTCCATGCTGATGTTTGTGGTAGTTCAGTTTATAGCCTGTATCCCCAAAAACATAGCAAATATCACACCACAGGATCAGTTTGTAGTTCTTACGATTGGTTTCTTTTACTCATAACAGCCTCTGTCTATACTTGGAATCAGTGACGTTGCTTATCACCTCAAGATGTAATCAGTCAGCGGTTCATGGCTCCTTTGATGGTCAAATAGTTGCAAATCGGCTTCCAAACTCCCACACTTTGGTGGGTAAAGTTTTTTGACTTGGGAGCAAATCCCCATGAACACTTTGGTTCTATGGTAAGAAAAAAATTTAGATTAAGTCCAAGTAAGAAAAGGAGAATTATTTTACGGCTGCCAATAATACCAGTAGTAGGAGGTGAGAAGGTTATGGGTAGGTGAATTTCAGAGAGATCAAACTATCGTATTTCAGATTATCTACCTGCTCACCTTGAGTAGGAGTACACTGGAATGAGGAGTGGCCACAGAAGTTTGTCACACAAGCTCTGTCTGAGAGCACACGCAGTTCACTGCAGGCAGATTCGAGCGTACAGCACATTTAGAGTTAATCAAGGACGGCATAGAGACGCCAGTGTGTAATAAGTATTGTTTAAAAGAAATAGCTTGTTCCCAGTTTCTTTGGTTATACTACAATACTAGTTATTTCGTTATTTAGGATTTCTTTGCCATATTTTATCAATAGTTAATTGTAAAATTTAACCTCTTTTAATTCTATTAGCCACAAACAAAATATGTATAAATGAAATTTTAAATCAGTTACTTGATTTAAATTCTCTGTAAACTGACAGTGACAGTCATTTACATGTAGAGTGGATTTACTAATCTTGGAAAGATGGCAATAAATACTCAGCATTGGAATTTTAAGATGTTAGAATACCAAAATATACCTTAGTGGTTTGTTAATATTTTAAAATATACTATAAAATTATGCTAAATAGAATAAAAACTACTTTTGCATAAATTTAAATCTAATGTAGTCACAATAGCAGATTGTTCATTAAACTACAGGTAGTCAAAATTAACTAGCCTGATAAAGGGATTATTTCATTATTTTAATTTTTCACTGTTCTGAGAATAAAGCTGACGAGAGAGAAAAAATTGTGTCACCTGTGTATGTTTTTCTACTGTTCCAGAGGAGGATAACGCCGTTAGGATTTGCGAAACATATGCAGCAGGATGGCCAGTAAAAGAGGCAACGCTGCAGAGCTGATCTAAAAACTGTAGAAAGTTTCCCACAGACGACCCAAAGCTAAAGTAACAACAGGTAAAGTGTGTAGTAGTTGGTGGCATTTTGTTGAACAGTCTTGGTAGAGATAGATTATGATTTATGCTTAAATTAGTGTATAGTGTGTTGAGAGCATATTGTTTTTATTGATTCAGAATGAGCCTCAGGAGCCAGACTCCCTCCACAGAGGCCTCTGTCTTGCACAGCCTTGTTTCAGATAAACAGATAAATCATAGACCACTACTAGCTCGGTAATTAGTAGGTGGCCACCAAAAATGCACCAACTGGAAGACAAGGACTGTTTTTTAATGCTTAAAGGGGAATTTGTATCGATAGACACTTTGATAGTAAAAACTTGACGAATGGAGGATCGTACTTTTCATGTATCACACTTTTGCGCTACTGACAAGAGGGGTGAGCAAAGCAGCTTTTTAGCCTGGAATCTGACTGCTAGAAATCACTTAATATTCCCATTTCTACGAACTTTACCTTTAATGACAAATGACTGAATTTACAGTACTTGATAGCCCACTTTCTGCAAGGCAAATACCAAGACTTTTTATGGCTGATGGCTCATGATCTCCACACTCATTCACAGTCTGATGGCAGCAACCTAAGGGACATGAGTTTTGCCTTGGACATGGACTTCTGATCTTAGGCCACCAGCTGGATGAGGACTTCAGTTTGAAAATGTTACTTTCATGCACAGGAGTGCACTGGTTTTCAGTAAGGAAACAAATAATTGAAGAGACAGAACCGCGTATTTTAATGCATGCACAGTAAAATAATGTTAACCTTTCTCACCTTCCAGTGTGCAAAAACGACACATTTGAAACAAAGAAAAACGGATCTTTTATGAGCCATCAGGAGCAGATTATTGAATGTCATTGTGAGCTTGTTGTGCATCCTTAACTTAAACTAACTCCAAAGTAAATGACTGCATGGCTATTTCCTCTGGATGGTGATAAATTTGTGTTACATAACATAAAAACCAAATGATGACAGCAAAGCGTGCGAAGTGGCGCCTATGAGCTATTGATAGTATTTATGACACACATGCAATCTAACATCTATTTAGCTCCCCCTCTGAAATCCCCCTGCGGTAGTTGTGAGGTGGTTTTGTGCTGGTTTGGAGCTGGTCGTTGTTGTTAGGGATAACCAAAGGCCTGTGGCTCTTCCTGGGTGACAGTAACAGGAGTTAAAACCTGTAAATCTTCAGCAGACCTCCTTCCTCCCCTCTAATTCCTCATTACCACACGGCAGGTTGTCTCAGGAGAGATTTAGAAAGCCTGCAGGGCTGCTTTGTAGCCGAGGAGTGTGTTTTACTCACCGTGGGTGTGTGTATGTGTGTGTTAACCCATGTGGTGAGTGTGCGTAGGACCGCAGGGAAGGACTTTGGGCCTTGGCTTTTGGACAGGTGTGAGACCACGGACCGCAGGCAGGAGTTTCCATCCTTTGGGTGTATGTGTTGAAATGTGGGTATGTGTGTGTGTGTGTGTGTGTGTGTGTAGGTTCATGCTCAGGTAGAAAAATGCTGCACTCTGACTAACCTTTCCAACAAACCACAATCTAAAATAAAAACACTGCGAGGAGGAAACTTCACATGCGCTCCTCTCTTCAGTATTTTAGGACATCTTTATCTCTTTTCTTATTCCTCGAGTCTGGAGTATTTACAGACGAATGAAAGGCCTCTAGGTTTGCACATCCTTTCAGCCCACATCAATGTAATCTAACACCCAGCCTTTAAGAAAACTCACCTCTCTGTTTATCTACCTGGCTGTCTCTGTCTTAACCTGTGTCTTTAAACAAACCTCTGAAATCAGCGCTGGTTTCTAACGCTGTTCAAACAAGAACTTTTTCTGCTTTAGTTAGAGCCTGCAGGGGATCCTGTAAGCCTGCTCTCATCTGTTTACTAGCACCCACTAGTGGCACAAAGCAGTAATGCCAAACTGATTGAATCAGATCTGGATTTAAAGTCTGATTATCATGAGATGTTTAATAGCTCTTAATTTCAGTAAGATACATTCAGGATGTTTAAGCATTTTTATGAACCCGGAGGAACATTTTTATAACTCAAGAAGGAATTAATTAATTGAAAGAGAAACTTTTACAGTTTTATTTTAGTTAAAACTTATCTTACATCTTGGAACTTGGAATAAGCGCGAATTGACATGCAGGTGTAATGACTTTTTCCTCTCCTCACATGGCTGTCCTCCCTGTGAATGCATGCTGTTGTAGCGTTGAAGTGAATCATTCAGCGGCCTGTGTGATCCCCTCTCTGCCATTGTGTCTCCAGCGACAGTGTTTACTGATAATTGAGTAATTACCTGTAAAAGATAGCACTCCTGTGGTTCTGTTCAGTCGTAATCTTCCCAGCCTGTGTTCACTGCAGATCAGGTTTTACCTTGGGAAGAAGCTAAATACAACAGTTTAGCAGTACTTTCTGTGTAAATGTGTGCATGAGAGCTCAAACTGTACATGCATAACCACTCTGATGCTGTCACCAAAGTTACCTCAGTGAAATCACAGGAAACAAGAAAGTGTTTAAAACTCATTTACCACCTCGGATAAAATGTTGATTGCTGGATATTCCAAATTGCACAAAATCATATTCGGGTAATTTGACATTCCTTTGTGAGTTGCACAATCCCACAGTGAATGGAAAGTTGTAACAGGCACTTTGTGCGTACACTAGTGGCCTCACCCACAAAGGCATTTGAAAGACAAACAGCAGTGCGTGCTGCTGGCTGGCCAGAGTGCCGCAGCAGTGAAAGTGGTCGTTTCTTTTGGAGTTACGGCAGGCAAAGTTCAGCATAATGTCCGTGTCATTACAGTGTAAAGAAAGCTTTGTGAGGCAGCCCTGTCCCTTTCTTGTTCTATTCTCTGTCTTTCAAAGATTTTGAACTGCTTTCTCCCTCTTTTCTTTCTTTTTTTTGTGTTTTCCTCCTTTCTTTTCTTCTGACAAATATTGTGTCTGGGTTTAAGGATTAAACAGCAGTTTTTTTTATTATTATAATTATTGATTTTTACACACACTGCAACTTAACCAACGATAATGAGAAAAATAAACATAACAACAAACTACCCCTCAAACATAGATTTAATTGTACATGAAACAATAAGGATATTTCATTAACTTCACAAAGTTGAACTCCACTGGACTAGGTTGCAAAATTTTCATCAGAAAAATCTCATTCTTACCCTTAATCATCTAAGAAGTCAAGATGTTTCACAAAACAATAAAAAACTAAAATCTTTCAAATAAATTCTGCTGACCTTGTCTTTTATATTTCACCCTCTGTAAAAAAGAAAGTCGTCAAGATTGGTCTCATCCATTATGTTACATCTGGCTTGCTATTTATCCCCTTCAAATTGGAAAGATATGTCTCATAGCATGAGGTTTAACCAAATTTATCATTATTTACTTTTATCTAAACTGTGCAGGTTTCAGTTATGGTCCCTCACCCCAAAGTCCAGAATCCATCAGAAAATCTTTAGAAATATTTGCCCAAATGTTTTTTCTAACTTCACAGCCAAACACAACAAAAAGTGTCCTGTTCTTATTGTTGTATTGTCTGAATGAATAATACTGCTGGACTGGATGGCAGTTAATTAATCAGACTATATGAACTTTGATAAAGATTTGTGTTGCTGTAATCAGAGATCACATTTCAGGAGCCGGATCTGATGGGCTAAATGTAAAAAGCTTTCAGTGATTGTTTTAGCTTACAGCTCCCCTGTGTAAACTCTATTTAATTCACAATATTTATTCAGTTTTTGACATTTTACAGCTGTGCAGCATTGCTCTCTACAGTGATGATTCAGGACTTTTATAGAAAATACATTGTTTTACAGCCATTCCGTATTCCTTACATTAAAAACAACTTTTGACATTTAAAATAAACAGTTTTTTACATTAGTATCATTCTTGTGTAACTTCACATTGCCTTCTTATCACTGTGTGCTAATGTGATCAAATCTTGATCATTTCATGGGTCCATTTCTCAGCAGTGGGACACCAAGGACTCTTACAGTTTTAATCACACACACACACACACACACACACACTGAAAATTGGTAAATGAATGCACCACCGGTCACTTCTTTAAAAAAAGTAATTAAATTAGCGACTGTGTTTCAACATTATTAAAGTAATGAGTCATTTGGGAAAGTAACTTCAGCATTATTTCTTTTTTGCCTTAATACTCTTTCCAGTACACCCTGCCTTTTATCACACCAGCAAATGTTCATTCATTCTCTGAAAGCAGCTGACTCAACAGCTGATTTGGAAAGCATGTCTTGAATGACATACCTTGCAATCAGTCTGTTTTGGCTTCCTTGGCCAACAGATTGTGCAGCTAGTAGTGTTTGCAGTGCTGGGCTCTGGCAACTTAGCAGAGGCAGGTTTGATGAGATGAGAAAAAGCAAAGTCTCCTTTCCTGTACATCAACTTGTGCTCACTGTTATTGTTCAAGGAGGAAAGAACAGTGCTGGTATTTCCAAGACAGAAAGCTCACATGTGTGCGATTATTAGCCACTGCATGTGTTTAATGTAGGTGTAACCTCACCTGCTGAGTTAGAGGATTAACTTCATGTAGTTAACAGCGATTTGATGTAAAGAATCAAGTAATGAGCCCTTGTTATTTCTGTCATTATAACAGTGTTATTAAATCTGGAATGTGAGTAAACACAAAGGCGGTTATAACTGGTTATACATCTGAAGAAGATATTTGTTTAATTTGTTTTTCTCTAACTGCTATGTGAGCATCAGATCGACTGTGTGCAGTTTTTTTTAGTTAAAACAGAATTGATTTTATGTCCAAATCAATCACATTATACAAGGAGGTATTTCGTGTCATTACAGCAAAAAAAAACTCATAAATAGATCCTTGGTGTTTTTCTTAAAAATTAGCTTTTAATCCCACATATTCCTCACTTACTTTTCCACCTCCTACCACAAACTTCCAGCTCTGAAGTGGGCCCCAAACCAGAAAATGCAGGTTGGAATATTTGGTTACGGATGCATTT